CATGTTCTTCATGATGGGTGGGGGGTATAGGTTGCTTTCACTGATTGTATTCAATAGGCGGTAATTCACACTTAAGCGTAAAGAGCCGTCCTTCTTCTCTCTAAAGAAGACCGGGACGGCCACTTTAGGCTTGGCAGTTTCAATGAACCCCCTTTCTAGTTTTTCTTTATGAATCTTTCCATTTCCTCCTTCTCCTTCGGGCTCATGGAATATAGTCTGGGCTTTGTGAATTTTGCCCCGGACTTAAATTCTATGGCATATTCCATGGGCTGGTGGTGGGGGGAGCTCATCCACCCTCTCCTCACTGAAAACTTCAATAAGATCTCTGTATTCCTTGGGTATTTTGGGCAGCCTCTTTTCTTCTCCCATGGATGCTTTTTCCATTTTTAATTTTGCTAAGACTCCTTGGGGTTTTAGGTCCATAGGGTCCCCCTTTGGGAAATTGATTTCTGCCGTCCCCCAATTTACCCAGGGATTCCATTTTTTTAACCATTCCAGCCCTAGGATCATTGGGCATTCCATGCCTGGGGTCACTATGAATGTTATATCTTCCTCATGGTTTCCCAGGGATAAGTGGCTAGGGTAGCTGGCACCCCCCTGCTATGGACCCATCTGACTGGCCAAATTAGATTGATTGTTCTAGCCTCCTCACTGGAATGCCCAGATTCCCCACTAGCATCGGGCAAATGAGGCAGCGGGTGCAGCCAGAGTCTATTAAGGCTTTCACTTTGACAGCTTCAGGCATGGAGGGAGCTAATATATTCACTGTCTTGAGGATGGGTGCAATGGGTCCACTTACCAGGGGTTCATCTTCCGAGCTGTCATCTGAGGCATCCACCGGCCCTGTGGTGCAGGTTGGAGTCCCTTTCCCAGGTTGGGCAGAGGTTGGGGGTTTTAAAGCCTCTATGACTCTCACGGCAGTTCTTTTGGCTTAGCTGGGGACTTCCCGGATTTACTGGCCGGTGATCTGTCTGGGTTGTGCTGGGGGGGCTTTCGAGCAGCATTCTACAGCCTGATGCCCCTCTCTCCCGCATTTGAAACAGCCTGTTGGCTTCTTGGCTGTAGCCGGTGGCTTCGCTGGCTCGGGCGTTGGCTCAGGCAGCAAGCGGCCCCATGGTTTTCCTCGGCAGTGCCTCTTCAATAGGTCGATCTCTGCTTCCTCTGCCAGGATGTATCACTCGTTGAGTTGGTATGGATCCCCTTGGAGCAGGTTAGCATCATACAGGTTGTAATTTAGGCCGTCTTTGAAATGGCTAAGGAGGATGTCTTCTGGCCAGTTCAGTTTGCTAGCAATGGCCCGGAATTCTTGCATATATTCGGAATTCTTGCGTATATTCGTCTGCGTTGCCTCACTGTTTTGATTCTTTCATGGGTTTTGCAATCAGCCAGGGGGTCCTCAAATCGCCTTCTCAGGGAGGACATGAACCGGTTGACGTCGTTGAACTCTGGGGCATCTGAATCGTGCAAATTCACCACCCAATCTGCGGCCGGCGCATCCATGGCAGATTGCACGATATGTATATGGGCTTCGTCGCTAGGGATGTGCCGCCCGTATTCCTCCATGTAGCTGAGGACTTGGGTTATGAAAAACCCAAACGTGTCGGCTCCCCTTTGAATTCTGTGTCCAGCGGTGGGAGTCTTTGAATGGATCGGTGCCTTTGTCCTCAGTGGTATTGTCTTCCATCCGGATTACCATCTGCGAGTCAGCGGAGGGTGGGGGCTGCTGAAGTGGTCACTACTGGGTCACTGGATGTCCCTGGGACTGCAGGTTTCAATTCCCCCTCAGTGTCCCTCCAGCTGCAGCTCCAGGTGCTGGTGCGGCCGCGGGGCTCAGAATTCTCCCCTAGGGAGCTGAGGGTTCTTTTCATAGGTCGATAGCTTTCTCTAGGATCCAATTTGAATGCTATGCCCAACTTCCTTCCTCTTCGCTCATGTGCAGGGATTTCTCCATCTCAGGGTCAAATTTCTTGATCTCTTTTCCCACTTGCCTTTCTTTCCAACGCCCATTGACCACCAAGGTTTGTGGTTATGCGTCTCCACCACCTCTTCTCCTGAGGAGTATGACATTTCAGATCCCGATAGCTGGCAAGTTTTCGGTCAGGGGGAAGGCTCCCTCTCCATGGGAGTTTCTCCCTTCCCTGTCTCTTCATCTGACATTGTATTTTTTGCAAAGTCCCCCAGCAAGGTTCTCCCTTCCAGGTTGATTATTACTGCAGATCCTGTCTAATGTAAGGACCCACTTCAATCCACATCTTAAGAAAGCAGAACTCTTGGAAACAGTCTCTTCCAACAGGAACTTTTATTAAAAGAAACTGATAGCGGGCATGATAGACAGTAGCTGAGGGATTCCCTTACAATTCGATGTTTTAAAATATCCTTAAGCAGCCCCCCCACCCCGTAGTTCTTCCAGGTGGGCAGATTTCTAGGTGTCAACTCCAGGAGAGATAATATCAATCCAGCTCTGTTGGCTCAATCATTCAACAGATGCCAGATGCTGCATCTCCCCCCCTTTCTCTGGCTGGCCAGTAAAGGAGGAGAAATTCAGAGGAACATAGGATGAAAGGCAAATGGCTACATTGTTATGGTTAGCAGATCCGAAGCAAATCAACAAAAGGTTACTTTGTAGTGAATAGAGGAAATGAAAATAATAAAAACCCCATGCATACCCCCTCCCCCTTAGTAGTATGACAGAATCTAGGAGAGAGTAAGAATTGGTTTTATATCAGAGAAAATAGATAGAAATGAAATATAACTGGATTTTGACAATACCTCTGAAAAAGTAAGACTACAACCTATCCTGCTAAGTTCCCGCCACAGGTTTTGGAAATCTTTTGGATAAATTATTAGTGCTAAGATGCACAACAACTTCAACATCACAATCCTTACTAGAATTTTTGACAATGTGTCTCTTTTCTCTGCTGTCAGTAGGATCAGGCAAACATCTCACATTGTTCAAAACCTCTACATCCTTTCCTAAATTGACACCTCTTACTACTGAGTCACCAACCAGAAAGTGGCTTCTTCTTTCTAGATTCCTTGTTCACCTCACATGACTTTGCAATACCTGATTCATACCTTCCATGATGCAAAACATCTTCCTCACAGACCACAGTGCCATGCTCAGTTGAGTCATCATCTTCATCACAAATAGCTGAACCTGCCACTTTAGTGGCATTAAGTTCAGTAAGAGTCCTGTATCTATTAGGCAGAGACACATCAAAAGCTTTGTGTTTATGTTCCACAGGTTTCACTTTGCCAGATCCAATAGTTGTCCATACTGCTCTTCTCCTGCAGGGTCTTTGTGATAGAGAGGGCTGATAGTGAGGCAACTCAAAAGAACACACAGGTTGAGTCAGACACTTAATTTCAGCCTAAAGAGTACAGACTAAAAACTTTAGATAAGTAATCTGTCCATGTAAACTATTAGTCAGCTTAAAATAGGATAGTATCCAAATTTAAAAAGAGTAAAACAAAAGACAACTGCAAAACAAGTGTTGCACTGAGCAAAGCCAGACATTCTAAAATAAAACTGCAATCACACAAGCACTTATCAAGGATAGAATAATCTTGGTAACATTGGTAATATCAAAGATGAATTATTGCTGCTTTCAAACTACAGATGTAAGTTTGCCCTCACAATAATTTCACAGAGTTGATGCAAATAAATATTCCCTTGCAGCCTTCCTGATTCAGATTTATAACTGTATGATTCTGTTACTACTAACTTGCTGCTGAATGAGAGAATATTAACTGAGGATTCCCTGGGCATATATAATTGATCAGATATGAAATGTTAATGCCTGCTATGCTTTAATTTGCTTCCCTAATTTTTCACTATTGCATATTTTAAAACAATATTTAAAACATCCATTTCATGAGTACATTAGTTTATTTTTGATACTTGTGGATATTAATTATGTTAAACAAAAATGACAAAATCAATATACATAAAAATCTGATTGTTGCTATTTTGAGGAGTTTGACTGTGCACATGATTACAACTGGTCACTTAGCTCTGACATTGTAGTGGACGCCCCACCCCAAAAGGCACTTGCAGCCTAGTTCCAAATTTATGATGGCTGGGAGAGGTGTGATCACATTTTTACATTGCAGGCACTTGGCAACCCATCTGCATTTATGGCTGTTTGCAGTGTCCTGCAGTTACATGACTGCAATTTCTGGCTTTTTGGTGAAAGCCAGCATTTATTTTTGGTTTTCAGCAAAAATGCCCCATAGCAAAGTGAGTTCGCTTAACAACCGTGGGTTCACTTAACAACTATAGTAATTTGCTTAATGACTGCCACAAAAAAGTCTGTAAAATTGGGTCAGTTACATGATGATCCTTTTATAACTGTCACAACTTATGATCGTAATGGGCAGGCTCCATCATGGTGATAAGTCAAGAACTATCCTTACTTACGTTAATTGTAGCTGGGTTCTTTGAACTTCTAACAGTTTTTTTTCCCCTTCACTACTGAAAGGGATGGTGTAATCAACAATATATACAATAATAGGATGTGTACAAGTATTGTTTTTTGTCATTTGTCCAAAGAACTGTACTGCTAATTACATATCTTTGGATTAGAAGAATTTTTGATACAATTTTAGAAATAAATTTCACAGAATAACTGATAATTAAACAACTAAAGGAAAGAAGTAAAACATGAGGTGTAATAATCTGCATGTTACAAAGAAAATGTACATACAAACCACAAAATAGATGTTTACACATAATGATACCTCTGTTGCTGAATTTACCTACTTGGGAAAACTTCTGTGAAATAATTTGACATTTTATTTTTCAGTTCCGCTAATTATTGGGCCTTCAATAATGGAATGTTTTCTCAAATTATTTACTTTTATTGTTATCCATAATAGGGAAATAGGTATTCAATTTTTCTTTTCTTTTTATACAATTAATGTTTGCTCATAATTATTACTATGAAAAATTTATTAGACCTAGTTTTAATTTAACATTTAATTATTTATTTTCTATGAAGGCCTGCTCATAAAAAAAATGAACCTATAAACTTCAGCAAACTGATTAGCAGTGGTTATGGTGATGAATGGCTTCAGCAACGTGATCAGTGGGAGAAAAAAAATACCGAACCTAATGGTAATGTGTTAAAAAAATTTTTAAAATACTACATCATTTTTAATGCTTAAAAGTTTGCTTAATAATCCCTGCTCTAATTTACAAGCCTGTTTTAAATATTTGTGGGTCATAAGTAAATAAAGTATATTTATTCACATTCTGTAACTAATCAGACTTGAATTCACACATCACAATATGGCAGCTGTATTTTCTTTTTTCAAAAATTAATATTTTATAAACTCAGCCATTATTTATATGAATTATGGTTTACAGTTTACCTTGTGTAAATTCTGTCAATTATCGCTTATTCAGCAATCTATAGTTAAAACTTAGTGTGATTCCATTAACTGTTTTTTAAGGAAGTCCAATTCTTTTCAATGAAATATGCTTTCAAAGAGTAAAGCATTCAGTTCTATCCTGATTATAAAAACAACAGAACATCTTCATTGTAAAGAAGAAATCATTAGCATTATTTTGCGGCAACTGCCATTATCAAAGTTATTCTACTTTAAAATATTTAAAATTATGGCATAATATATCTGTAGATTATATTCTGGTGGAACATTCATTTTATAATATAATTAATATTTAAATATATCTGAAGAAATGTTCAGAAAAGTAGCAGCTTTTAAGATTTTGCAAAGCATTAAAGATGATATTTTATAAGGCATATTGGTGCATGCCCAATACCTTTTGTACAAGCAATAAAACTGTCACACTCTGTGAAAAGCTCTTGCAGTTGTCTGCACATAATTGTTTGTTGGTTTATTTTATGCAGTTTATAGTCCACTCCAACTGCATAGAAGAAGTAGTATTTGGCTCCCTTTCCATATCTCAGATTAAAACAAAATATGATATAGTTAACAAATTAAAGCCATAAAATCACAGTATAAGACCCTACGGATAATTGTAGACCATACTTTATATACCCTCACCACTGAAATTATGTCCATTTTTTTTAGGGACAAATAAGATCCTTTTTAAACACCAACAGGGAATGGGCCATTTGAAGGTCTGAAAGACTGCTGTTCCAAACAAGTGGATGAACAATAGAGAAGGCATACTATGGTAGCATTTGTAGATGGCATTATCTGAGCAAAGGGCATGGAGAGAGTTTGTCTTGTTTGACAATATTGGGTGAACAGATGTTTTGGAAGAAGATAATTCTGTAAATATCCAAGCCATGAACCATATAGGCCAGGAGTGTCAAACTGCCGGCCTGCGGGCCGGATGCATCATGGTGAAACTGCACCCACCCCATTGCTGGCAATGGAAAAAAAAGTCACGATATGTCGTGACACGTTACATGACATTGCAAGTTTGACACCCCTGATATAGGGCTTTGACAGTGGTAACCACTATCTAGAATTACATTTAATGTACAATCAATAATCAGTACAGTTCCAAAAATAATGTATTACAATGGTGCAACAAGGAGTGCCCATAACTACTTGAGCCATTGTATTCTGAATCAGATGTACTTTCCAAATGCACTTCAAAATCAGCCCCATGTAGAACGCATTATAATAGCATAATCAAAGTGACTAGGGAATGAGTGACTATGGATAAAGTCTATTATATGTGCACACACATTTACTACACACAGATAATTGTTTTGTGAATTCAGGCACAGATGCTTAAGTAGTCCTTTGTAAGTTTTGCAAAGTACAGTTTTGAATGCGTAATCTTAATTGTTTTTATAGAACCAAATTTATATCCATTTAAATGTTTAATATAGATCTGAACATCTTTTGTAGTCACTTTGTTTTAAGCAAGCACTTTGGACAATTGTTAAAACATATTGGCTGAATTCTAACTTAGAAACAGAACCTATAGCCCTCCAGATGAATTTCTATTATCCATGGGACAAGATTGCAATTCAACAGCTTTTGGAGGATGATAGATTTCCCATCTCTTTATATTCAGAATGCATTTTAAGTAAAGAATTCCTTTTCCATTATTTCTTGCAGATTCTCTCCTTCCTCCAAGTGAGTATCAGAAGAAAATAGAAAAGAGGCAGAAAGCTAGGAAACATACATTGTCATACAAAAGAAAATCTAAATCTCAATCTGGACTTGAAATGGGTGCCCAGCCTAAGAAGTCACTCTTCAAGCTCAGAATGTATGCCACCCAAGATCATATCCCAACAGCGCATTTCTGATCTAGCCAAATATAAGAATTCTATTTTGCTGTTTTTTTTTCTATTAGAAGAGAATTTAATAATTGGGAAAAGTACCTTTAGACATATGGTTAATACAGATATTTTTAATGTTAATCAAATATTGAATGATGCATTCCTCCTCAATGCATTTCTGAAAGTACAAGAATATTCAGTAAAGTTTCTTCTTATAATGGGAAATAATTGGGCCTTGTTGACAAAATTAGGCCTTGAATTGACAAAAAATAAATAAATAGTAATTTTGCATGTACTTTATACATAATAGCTTCAGTTCAAAACAGAATAAATTGGAGGTTAGTATATATGAAGGCTCTTGTTTACTTTTCCTGAATGATTTTGCAGACTAATTTTTAAAATGCATGAATTTAATGCAAAATAGCTGTTAGTTATGCAGCATGCAAAATGAAATTTCTACAACTTATATTGGTTCTAAACCAACTATCTGAATTCAGGTAACATTCATCACATTCAAAATAGAATTTAATTCTTATGATAGGGAAGTTCATTCTTTTTTTTTTAATGAGGTATCTGTAAAGAATGGCACAGACATAGACCTATACAATAACTCCATGGGCTGTATTTGTATTCTGTTGTAAAAGAAAAAGAAATTACTGATTAAAATGATTATTTAAAAACCCTGCATCCAATGAATTAATGATATACTGGAAATAAAACGGAATGTTTTTGAAAGGAAATTAGACTTAAATATTAAACTCTTATATGTCAGAACAACTCTTGTTCTTTTAACTACGGGTAGTCTTTGGCTTATAATCGTTTGTTTAGTGATTGTTTGAAGTTACAACAGCAGTGAAAAAAGTGACTTACGACCGTTTTTCATACTTACAACTGCAGCATTCCCATGGTCAGGTGATCAAAATTTGGATGCTTGGCAACTGGTTCATATTTATGAAGGTTGCTGTGTCCCAGGGACATAAGATCAGCTTTCTCAACCTTTTGACAAGCAAATTCAATGGTAAAGCCAGATTCATTTTACAACCGTGTTACTAATTAATGATTCACTAAACAACTGTGGCAAGAAGGGTTGTAAAATGGGGCAAAACCACTTAACTGTCTTGCTTAACAGCAGAAATGTTGGGCTCAGTTATGGTCATAAGTCAAGAACTGCCTGTACGTTCCAGCTTCTTCCTTGGAGAATTAAACTAAGTGCCTAAAAATAACTCTTTTTTCATATCTGCCTCCTCAAATTGCAAGACTGCACACTTCCCACTGAATTCAGTATGATTGTTTTAGCAAAGATGGATGGACAAAAAAAAAAAAGAAATAATTTCTGGCTAAATAGGTCTTTAATACTTAATAGTAAGTATGTGAAGGCTGTATTTACATTATTTTAAGAAAACTAAGTCCGGAGGAAGGGTGGTGACGGCGGTGCTGATGGCGGCTTTTTTCAGCCGTCCGCCCTGGAATGTGTCAAAGCCAGCTGAGACAGCGAGCAACAGCCTTCTCGCGGCTTGAAATCTCTATCCCCGGGCGAAGGGGAGGAGGTGAGCTTCCCTCGGATAGTGGTAGAGCTCCCTGAGAGACCCCAAAGTTTTTTTTCTTTGGAGGTCAGAGGGTGAGAGCTCCCACGGAGTCTGAGGCGTTCTCCACATTCCAGGATGCCTTTGCTCTAATTTTTTTTTTAGAGCAAAGCTAGATGCTGCTTTCACATCTGCTTTCAAAATGAACTTGTGAGTAAAATTTAAAGCAGACAGAGCTGACCAGGGAGATTATATTGGTGATTATTCTGAGACTTTAACTCTGGAAAAGATTTCATCTTCTCTTTCTTCTTATTTGAGAGGGGTGAAAAATGGTGCTGAGATGTGAAAGGACCGGAACTTCAATTTGAAACAGTGTAACAGCTTTTACAAGATATAAGAATTTTCTTTTTTTTTTTTTTAATATAGGGGGCTTTTGTCTTTTTTCCCCTCCTTTTGTCTCTCTTTTTTTTCTCTCTCTCTCTGCTAACTGTTGAAGGTTTTATAAGATTTTAAAGAGTTTTTTCTTTTTTATATAAGTGACAAGATGGCTTCAAAGCATCTCGGAGCTTTTGTTTCTAAAGCCTCGATTTCCTCTTCGGTAATGCAGATAGCCCAGCAAGTCGAATCTAAATTTCCACCACTTTTTTCAGCTTTACCAGCAGTTTTATCTAAAGACTTACAGGACGCTTTGGAAGATAGTGTACGACGGATTGAAAAAGAGATAGGTGAAATTATTGAAAATAAATTTAGGAAACTGAGAGAAAATATAGTGTCTGTGTTTCAGAAGTTTGTTGATCATATAGAACGTCTGGATCAGCGTATTGATGTTGCTGTAGAAAGTTCTGAAAAATTGGAAGATCAAGTGGATAAAAGAGAAAATAAGGTGGAAATAATTCAGGATGAAATTACTATGTTACAATACAGAAGTATGGAGTTTGCTTTAAGAATAAGGGGAATGCAGGAAAACATTCAAGAGGATTTGAGACAAGTGGTCATAAAGGACATAGCTTTTATTTTGAAATCTGAGCCTGAAGAAATATTGAGCGAGACGGAAAAAGTTTTTAGGGTTAATTCAAGGGTTGCGAGGCAGAGGAATCTGCCACAAGATGTGGTTATTTATTTTTCTAGTAGATCACTTCGTAACAAAATTTTACAAGCCTTTTATAAGCAGAGATTTCAAATTGCAGCTCAGGATGTTATACTTTTGAAAGAATTACCTTCAAGAATTCTTAAAGTAAGAAAACATTTTGTTTTTCTGGCTGATGAGCTTAAGAGGCGACAGGTCCGGTTCAGATGGGAAATACCGGTTGGAATAGCAGTGAATTATGCAGGGATACATTATAGACTTGATACAATTTCAAAAGTGAAAGATTTTTACACTTTTGTTTTGAAGGCGGGCTCTTCATTACCCACAGCTGAGATATTAGAAGAAAAGTTGGAAGAGCAACAGATTGAAGAAGATATACAGGTTAAACCTCTGCAACAATCTTTCTTGACAGAAGATTCATTAAAGAAATTGAGTATGACTCATGTAGCTTTCAGAAGCAAAATAAAGGCGGGCTCTTCATTACCCACAGCTGAGACATCAGAAGAAAAGTTGGAAGAGCAGCCGATTGAAGAAGATATGCAGGCTGAACTTTTGCAGCAGTCCTCCTTAACAGAAGATTCATTAAAGAAATTGAGTATGACTCGTGCAGCTTTCAGAAGTAAAATAAAGGAGGGTTCTCCGCCATTTTCTACGCACTAGACAATAGAAGGAAAAGTTGGACATCAGCCGGCTAGCTAGCTTTTGGGGGGGGGAATTATAAAGAGTTTTGTTAAATCTTTGTTATTTAGGGGGAAAAAGTTTAAAAATTTAAAATTATGATCTCTGTTTGGGAGAAGACTTGATAGGTTTTAATTTAATGATTTAATATTTGGGAGTTTATATTGTTTAAAAGAAATATACATCTCGGGGTGGAGAAAGTGGATAAATTATATGAAGAATAAATATGGGATTTAATGGATAAATTATGATTAGAGTAGATATGATTAAAAGTATTGTTTTGATTATGAATAATTTTTGGTTTAAATTTGGAATTGTTTAATTTGCTTTGTATTTGATTTTTATAGTTGATTATGAATAATTTTTGGTTTAAATTTTTTAATTTGTTTGAATTTGTTGTTTAAATTTGTTTCGTATCTGAATTAAAGTAAGTTATTGATTTTGTTATTTGTATAGTTGGATAGGTTTAGTTAGATTCAGTTTGTATTAGTTAAAGTTAAGTAGATTTTGTTCAATATGTTTGAAAACCCTGTGCCAAGCTCTGGGAAGTGGGGGGAGGGGGGGTTGGGGGTGGGTGGGAAAGTAGGTTAGACAATAGGATTAAAGTAAGATAATAGATGGGACAACTTATGAGAGAGATGTTGCTTGGGCATTTCCCCAGCACTGTATCCGAAGAGGGATGAGAGTGGAGGAGAAAGGTTAGGGAGGAAGTAGGACGGTGAGAGGAGAGGGGGAGGGGAGAGAGAGGTGAGGGGAGGTGAGAAAGAGGAGGGAAGTAAGGGAGAGTGTTAGGGCGGATGCAGTTTGGGGGAGTGGGCAAGCAACATCTAGGTGTATTTATTTTATTTTGTCAAATGTGAAATTTTTTCTTTTTTGTTTATGTAATTGATAAATGAAAAATAAAAACTTTTTTAAAAAAAGAAAGAAAACTAAGTCCGAGAAATGTCATATGTTCATAATATTAGAAAGTTAATTAGAAAATTCACCTAGATGCTTTAAATGTTTTTCTCATTAAGACATTTATTTATGTAAATAATTAATTTATATTCTATTGTTAGATGTCTTGACAGGCACAATAATACATCAAAACATGATAAAAAGAAAATAACCTAACAATATCTTCTTTCTGAAAAATATAGCTGAACATTTCCAAAAATAATTTCCATTTTCACAGGCATTTAAAGTAGCCCAAACCATCATATTTTACAAGCAAAAAATACTTAAAAGCAATGTTGATTATTCTGTCAAGGAAAAGCATTTCAGAGTTGTAAACCAGTTTAGAGAAGTATTGTACCTATTAGTGGCCCTCTTAAAATTTGGTGTGGTTGTGGCATGAGCTATAAAACACTCATGGTTAATATTAAATGATGCACTAAAAATGGAAAAAGATAATCTCTTGAGATTACAGGGCCATATCTGCAGTTGCTTAAAGTTTAATTTAAAATAAATATCTGAAATCAAAATTTTGTCTAGAAAGCCCCCATGTTCTGTAATAACTTTAAATAAAAGTTTTCCCATATGTCATATAGTGTAATCAATATTTCAAAACTGGGATTGCTTGGTTTCTTGATTTTTGTCTCCCACATAATCTAAACTTCAAATATATTCATAATCCATCTTTTATTAATGGATGGATCTGAGGATATTTTAATGCTAGGTGCCATTGACTATACTACTAACAGCAGTAGTTGCCAGAAGGGTCAGTTATGTCAGGTAGTTATTGATAGATTTAATATGCAGAAAAATATATCTGCATCTACTTTTTAAAAAGCTCAGTCTTTCAGCTGATATTAGTTTATATGTTTTCCAGTAGTAAATAGTAAATGAATTGTAGTAAGTACTTTTACATTTCATATGTCCATGACATTCCAAGTTTAATCTGTTCTAAAATCCTACATATTTTGTAAAAGCACTTTGAATATTTTGGGAATGAAATTAATATGTTTAATTTGTATTGAATCATAGTTATTCAAAATCTTTTCATGTGCAATATTTTATATAATATTTCAAGAACTCCTGGCAAGTTAAATTTAATATTATTTATAATTTTCAATATTGCCAAGTAAAACAAAAATTGGCAGTCATTGTCTTGTTTAAAGAAGTGATATCCTAGTTTTTATTATTCATTATAAAATAGTGAAGCCCTTCTGTTTCCCCTCCCTCCCCTATATACTTTTTTTCTTTTGTAAATCAGAAATACTGTGTCTTGCTGAGATTCCTAACTTTCTTCTCATTTTCATTTGCAGATTCAGAAACATCCCAGCCAGAATTGACACAAACAGAAATTGAGTAAAAGCTGGTACTTCACAGAATTGTCACAATTCTGTTGCTACTTCCAAACAGCACTGTATGCAGGAAACTATTATACAGCTTAGGAAGCAGGCTCCAATAGTAATCTACTAACCAACTATAATAGGCTTCTATGGTTATCTCATAAACCAACTATTACTAAGACTCACCTAGTCTCTTCTAAAGCCACACCTGTTGCTTGAGAGCTGATGAGTATCCCTACAGTCATAAGACACTGTTAATATAAGCTATACTTTGAATTGAACTACTGAAAATAGTATAGGGGAATACAAGAATGAGACCAGCTTGAACTTTACACTGCTGACTTTTTATTTTTGTATCTTTTTCCAAGTAAAAGCTAGTTATTTTCATTTTCTATGTAATAAATTGAATGTTGGTAGATACTGACACTGAAATTATTTTTCAGAATATTGGATTGTATTGATAGTTTTAAACACCATTTGTATTTTGTTCTGCTTTATTCTTTACATATAAACTTATACAAATACTTGGATTCTATTTGAATAAACATCATTAGAAATTGGAAATAACTGTCCTTTATTTATGGCTCTTTTGAGTAATAATACAATGTTATTTAAAAAAATTTGGGCCTTCAAACAAATGTGTTAAGAAATACAAGATCTAATGACAGTTTCCATTTAATTTTAAAGAAGATGGATATAAAACGTCTGCAGGACTTGGGTTTGGCTAGTCTAAAGAAAAGAAGAAATGAGTGACATGACAGCAGTATTCCAGTATTTGAGAGGCTGCCAAAAGAAAAGGGGGTCAAATTATTCTCCAAAGCACCAGAAGGTAGGACAAGAAACAATGGTTGGAAACTGATCAAAGAGAGAAGCAACCTGGAATTAAGGAGAAACTTCCTAACAGTGAGGACTATTAACCAGTGGAACAGCTTGTCTTAGAAATCGTGGGTGCTTCATCAATGGAGGTTTTTAAGAAGAGACTGTCTTCTTGTCTGAGATGGTATACATTCTCCTGCTTAAGTGGGGGGCTGGACTCAAGACTCCAAAGTCCCTTTCAGCTGTATTTTATTCAAAAAAAATTATATGATATGCTAAAGCATATCAGGTTTTGTAAACCACTTCTGGCAGCATCTGCTGGACTTATCTGGTCTTAGAAACTCAACAGGATCAGGACTATTTAGATGGTTCCAAATGCATATGGAGTGATTTGGGAAATTCATAGACATTTGGAAAGAGATAAGAGCAAAGTACTGGATTAGTTAAAAAGAAAAGCCTTATTGTTGTGTGGGAAGTCAGCCCCCCCCCAAGAAAGAAATATTAAAAGGGCAGAATTGTAAGGACCCACCCCACTTTGCATCTTAAGAAGACAGAACTCTTGGAATAATTCTTCCAACAGGAATCCTTTATTAAGAGAAAATGGTTGCAGGCATGCTAGACAGGACTTGGGGTTCAAGCTCTCCCATTCAAGGTTTTAAGGGGTTCCCCAGTAGTCCCACCCAATCAACCCCCCTTCCAGTGATAGTTTCAAGTATCACAATTCCACCCCCTTTCTTCTTTCTTCCGTCTGGATGGAGACTTCAGGTAACTACATGAAAGGCAAATACCCTGCTTTGTTATGATAAGGTCCTCTAGTGCTAACGCTTTGATGTTACAATAAACACACATTCAGCATTCAGCTCTTTGAAGTGTACTGAAGGAAGTGAGGGCCATAAAGCCCCTTTGTTCTCCCCCTTCTCTCCCTCTTATGGCAGAATCCAAAGAAGGCAGAATTGGGAGTTTCTATATTAGATAATTAAAGATGAAATATGATTCCTCAAAGGATCTTAAAGAGGCAGAAAAACATGCCCAGTTTTTCGTAATAGCCCCAAGTCTTCCTCCCCCAAGCAGAAACCAGTTCTGTAGAAATGCAGAAGTAAATAATCCATTCAGTAAGGTTGGAGCCCTCCAGCTAGAAGCTTAGGAAGACAAAGACACCTAAAATCTACATACCCCACCCAAACTCTAGGACAGGATATAATAGGATTAACCCACAGATGCCAAAGGGGCACACTCAGACTCAGGTCAAAGTACATGACACAGGAAATACAAAGCCTCAAACAGGAATAGGAAACAACTCCAAACAAAAGCCCAAGAGGGTATAAAACCCACTCCCTACTACATGTGGTCTCTCTTTTCTTCCAGAGCCATCTTTTGGACTATCTCTCCTCTTCAATAAACTACAAACTTCTTTCTAAAGCAGTAGCCATGTTGCTTATTCTTGGCTTGGACTGAACACTGATGAAGACTTTTCCTTCAACAATTTGGCAACTACCAAATAAGAGTAGTAAAAAGAATAAAAAGAAGAAAAATATATTACCAAAATCATTCTTTGACATGGTAACAGAACTCAATCTTCAGGATATATGGAGAGAGACACACAGATCAGACAAACAATATACGTTCTATTCGTAAAATTACTGAAGAACAAAAGGAAATGTTGAATAGACCAATAACTGCAATAGAATTGGAAATACCATTGAAAAAAAACAACAACAAATCACCAGGCCCAGATGGAATTCCGGTCGAGTTTTATAAAAATACACAAGAGTCACTATAATGGATAATGTTGGAGATTTACAATGAGGTGTTGGAAGAGGCGAAGATACCGACAACTTGGACTGAAGCAATCATCACCCTCATTCCTAACGAAGACTCAGACCTACAACAAATTCAAAATTATAGACCGATTTCTTTACTGAATACAGATTATAAGACATTTACAACAATAATAGCAGAAAGGATAAAGAAAATTTTGAATAATTATATTCACCCAGATCAAAATGGATTTTTACCAGGACGACAAATAAAAAATAACACGAGGATAATACTGAATACGTTAGAATTTTACGAAGTTCATCCTGAAAGACAATCTACGCTGGTTTTTCTTGATGCCCAGAAGGCATTTGATAATTTGAATTGGAATTTTATTATAACACAATTGTACTATATGCATTTTGGGACAAAATTTGGAAAGATGGTTGAGAAAATATATACTAAACAATCAGGGTAATTATAAATGAGGAACTGACAGAAAAAATTGATGTAACCAAAGGAGTAAGACAAGGATGCCCACTTTCTCCTCTTCTATTTATTTTATCACTAGAAATACTTCTTACAAAAATCAGAGAGGACCAAGAAATAAAGGGTTTAAAAATTAAAAAAGAAGAATATAAGGTCCAGGCCTCTGCTGATGACTTGGTATTTATTTTGGAAGATCCATTAGAAACCGGCTTTAAATTGATTCAAAAAATAGAAGAATTTGGTGAGGTAGCCGGACTTAAGATTAATAGGAATAAATCCAAATTAATAACAAAGGCACAAGAAAGGGAATTGGAAGATAAAACAAAGGTTAGTATAACCAAGAAAATAAAATACTTAGGGATCTGGCTTACAGCGAAATGCTCCTCGATTAAGGAGGACAATTATGATAAAATACTACACCAGATAACAAAAGATTTAGAAAATTGGGAAAATTTGCAAATTTCATTTTTAAGGAGGACTGCTATGGTCAAAATGAATGTATTGCCAAAAATATTATTTCTGTTCCAGGCTATTCCAATAAAATTAGGGAAAACATTCTTTCAAGAATTAAATAAATTGATCACTAAATTTATATGGCAAAGGAAAAAACCCAGGATTAAATTAAAACTCTTGCAAGACACGAAAGATAAAGGGGGATTGGCGTTACCAGAGTGGGAAATATACTACCAAGCATCAAGCTTAACTTGGCTAAAAGATTGGATGGATTTGAAAAATACTAGAGTCTTAACAATAGAAGGACATGATTTGCAAGCAGGGTGGCATGCATTCCAATGGGATCAAAAAAATAAAATACACAGATATTTTTAAAGACACATAGTAAGGAATGCATTGCTACAGACTTGGGAAAAAATAAAACAAAAACATTATACAAAAATTCCAATGTGGTTATCCCCAACAGAAGCTCTGAAATACCCAAACCTATTGGATATAAATAAGATAATTAGATACAAGGAATTAGTAAATGAACAGGGAAATTTGAAAACAAAACAAGAATTGGAACAAGACATTGGCAGAGAGATTGATTGATGGACATTTACACAAATTCAATCTAAATATACAGAGGACAAAAAATTATATGAAATCCAAAAAGAGCCACAAGAATTGGATAAAATTATACATGGAACAGAAATAAAATTAATTAGCAATTTATACAAATACCTATTGAGATATAAAATGGAAGAAGAGGTTGTCAAAGACACAATGATTAGATGGGCAAAAAATTTCGGATCTAATATAGAGTTAGAGAAATGGGAAAAATATGGGAAATAAATATAAAATTGACTATGTCGGCGGCATTCAAAGAAAACCAGTTGAAAATGTTTTACAGATGGCATCTTCCACCTGCAAAGCTTGCTAAGATGTTCCAGAATAATTCGCCAACATGTTGGAAATGTAAAAAAGTACATGGAACATATTATCATCTATGGTGGACATGCCCAGTTACAAAAAAAATACTATAAGAAAATGGATCCAAGAAATAATAGACCAACCTGTAGACTGGAAACCAGAGATCTTTTTGTTGGGTATTTTAAATAGAAAATATAGTAAAGAAATATGGTACTTAATTTTACATATAATAACGGCGGCAAGAATAGCATATGCACAGTGCTGGAAAAATGAGAATATACCATCAGAGGAAGAAGTAATAAGAAAAATCCTGGACTGTGCTGAAATGGACAAATTAACAAAAGAGATAAAAGAAAAGGAAGACACAAAGTATTATATAGTATGGAACAAGGTGTATGTCTGGTTGGAGACTAGAAATAATAGAGGAGAATAAATATGGAAAGGTCAAAAGTGAAAATATGTGTACAATAATGTATAATAATAATAATATGAATTATTCTTAGTAAGAAGTAGAACATGAAGGAAGAAAAATGTGAATAAGAAATAATGGGGCTATAAGGACAAATATTTAAAGAAGAATAAGGGGAAATGTAAATATTAGATTACCATTACGTAATTGCTGTAAAAAAAGGGAGGAGTATATATATATTGTGTGTATGTGTGTTATGTTTTGCTTTGTTCTGTTTTGTCTTGTTGGTTAATAATAATAATAATAAAAACAATTTGGCAACCACAAAGGGACCCCAAGCTAGCTTCTCCAATGGACTGAGTGTAAGGACCCACCCCACTTATCTACAAAATACTTTAGGTATTTTGTAGATAAGTACACCATTTCTCCTATAATGAATGGTGTAGGCTCAACCCTTTTTTTATCGGCTTGTGCTTTCTATGCCTGCCTAGCTTCATCTAGTGCTTTTCTAACTATTGGCCAGGTGTTTTGTAGCTTTTCCATCCATTCTTTTAGTGAAGGGATCGTTGGTTCGTTTAGGGTTAACTCTGGCATGGGGTTGAAACTTTGACCGGTGGCTATCTGAAAAGGAGTGTAACCTGTGCTGGAGTGGACTGCATTATTGTAGGCAACTTCTGCAAAGGGGAGTAAGTCCGCCCACTCGGTCTGCTGGAAACTAAGAAAACAT